TATCACTGACACCCCTTTTTCCCTTCCACCCACAGATGACTGGATGTTTGAGAGGCCAGCCAATCAATACTTCCTAGGGCAGGTTCTGAAGTTTGAAGCTTCTGTGAAGCAGTACAACCATGTTCCTCTGCGACTCTTTGTGGATGGTTGTGTGGCTACTGCGGTCCCTGATATAAACTCTGCTCCAAGATATTCTTTTATTGAGAACCATGGGTGTGTAAGGATTAGTTGCTTGACCTCCCATGTGTTGCCAGAGACTAAGTGTTTTCCTTTGCTTTTAGGTGCCTGGTTGATGGAAAGCTTACTGGTTCTACTTCCAGTTTTATGCGTCGAGTTCAGAATGACAAACTGCACTTTCATTTGGAGACTTTCAGATTTCAGCAAGCAAATAGTGGCCTGGTATGTAGTGATACTGTAGTTCAGGTCTTAGAGCTGATTGTTCCCCTGCATGCAAAATGTTTCATTTCAAATTTGTTTTGTAGGTCTATATCACATGTGCTTTGAAGGCAGTTATGGCTTCAACCCCAATAAGTCCAGAGAACAAGGCTTGCTCCTTTGCCAATGGGTATGTCCTGATTTTTTCACTAGGGATGTAACTATTTGCTCAACTCACGATTCGGTTCTCGTGTGGGTTGGGTTTTTTTTTATTTTTTTTATTAAAACAAGCCCCAAATCAAAGAAGTATTTTACACCAGACATATCTTAATATGAACAAACTAAAGCTTTGTCTGTGCTCTTTCCATTTAAAATTGGAGGCAACAACTGGATTTTAATCATGACCCAAACAAAAATGCAGCATGAGTAGTTTAATCTAAATTGGACTGTATAATTTCAAAATCTGAAGCAAAAACAGAATGGTCTGATTTTAGTTTTGTGAAACTATACTACATAAAATATTTCTGAACGAAACCGTAGATGAGCTGAGATGCTGATTCACTGACAGCAGGTGGTGCTTATGAACCGCAATGATACAGAGTTTCCTGGGTTACCGCTGTAAACTAAGCGGAGCTGTGCTTATGAACAGTACTTTAATATGCATTGTTCCGAGGCAAGGTTAAAAGAGAATACCACGTAAACTTCTCTAAAGTGAGTCCGTTCCCCTCAGAGATCCAATCATATAAACTCCAATTGTATTGCTTCCAGACCCACACACACACACACACCTCCACTGGTCCGAATCCTCACATGTTTGAATTGATTTGACCGGCTCTCGGTTAATCGTTACATCCCTACTTTTCACAATATAAGATGTGTTCAGAATGGTTTACTCTCTGCTGTTTTATAGATGGCGTTCTGCAGATGACAATGACCAGGTGTGCATGTGCTGTGATACCACATGTGGCTCCAGCAGGAACGGGCAAGCACTGTCTGATTCAGGTGAAGGCGTGTTCTAAGATCTTTATGACTTTGCTCTATAGTTAAACCTATGACAATGGCTTTTTTTTTTTTCTCTACTCTCCAAGGCCTGGTTTCAGAAGGGAAAGCAACCATTGGCCCTATTGTAGTCTCTAATTGATGTGGATTGTAAGAAGTGGCCAATAAAGACCTGGAATGGATACTGTGGCATGTCTTCTGACGACTGACTATAGCCATTCAGCTTTACAGTACAAATGAGAGCATGCGAGTAACATTTATTAGAAAAGTAACTTCTAATTTAAGTGAACTTTAAAACAATGTTCACAAACTCGTTATATTGAATGTCATACTTGGCTACCTGTGCTTTTCAGGTATGTAATGAACTCAATGTCGAATACTTAAAGCTACGAAAGTTATTGATTTTCTCTTTTGTTGGGGGGGGGGTTCTTTGTTTAGCAGACATCACAGCAGCTGGGTTATGTTAATTTGGCTGCTTTAAGAGCTGCTGTTGAACATGACGTGGATCTGATGTGTTTTTTCACAACTCTTTACTTTTCTGACACACCACTTGAATCAGGTGTGTTAGATGGAGACAGTGCTGGGGTGCTCCATGACAGTTTTGAAAACCACTGCATTTCAGAGACATGGTTTTTAACAAATACACTAAAGAAAATGGAACGAGCTATCTACTTAATTTTTTTTATGTAACATTACACATATTTGAGTAGTTTTTGTAAGGCTTTTTTTGTTTTGTTTTTTAAATGGAATCTACCTGAATAAATCATGTAAAATCGCCTAAATTTATTAATCAGACACAATGTGTTTATAAAGTGGCATGGTTATGATCTTGCACCTGCATCCCAAAAGTGATTAACTGACACGGCTAGTTTCTTTATCCAAGTCAATTTAAGCAGATGCCAACCTAGATCAATTTTGACATGGCCTTTGACATTATTGAGGGGAATAGCAAACTGACCAAGACTGCATTTTGAACAATGGGTTCACTTGCAGGAAGGGATTGGGATTATCCCAATTGGCCTAACTATGCCCTAAAAGTGTGAGTGAGTTTTGGGGCATTCAACGAGGTCACAAATTTGAAGCCGTGAAACACTTTAGTTACATGCGTCTTGGAACCTTAAACGTGTTATTACATTTGTCGTTGCACTAAACTTAAGTGACTAAAAGGGTTTTCTCGACCCTATTGGAGAAGTAGCATTTCTTTTGTGTGGGGAAAGTAATGTTCTTGCCTACTCGTGTGTGTGTGGGTTATTAGTTCGGTCAATCGATTTAAAAGTAAGCTAATTGCAGTCTTTGAAGTTACCATTTAATCCCACCTAACATAACTTTGGTGTATTGTAATTTCAATCAAGTTAATTTAGAAACAAAGATGGTATTTGTATGTGTATA